TTGGCAGAACATTTCGATCTGAGTACCTCCTAATATAGCATAGTAGGTACTTATCCCGAGTTTCACGAATAATAACACTCTGAAATATGTGCAACATATTTTCAATTACGCATAGTCAAAGTGACAAAAAAATGATGCTTAGCGTATTGCGGAGTTACTTAGAACAATCACGAGACACGTAGAAAAAATTAATGACCTGGATTCGTTTGAATCTTTGACACATTTCCTGACAATGTCTAATCCACATCGAATAGTCAGCCTTAGAGAAGATACTAGATGATTTTTCCGCGACAGTACTTGCTGGTAATTTTCATTGTTTGTCTCTTAATATCTATTAACATAAAACCATATCTGTAGATGTTGAATCAATAAACTGTTAACATCAAACACAATAAAATGTTGTAGCTAATTACTTATGTAGATTGTTTCAGTCTTTATTTCATGCTAGAAACCAGGATTGTTGATTGTTTTGAAGAGTGGTAGGGACTTAAAATTTGACAGAAAGTATAGAAAACTTGATAGATTTTCAATTTTTGGAAGGGGTTAGCCCTTCCCCAACCGGCAAACCTGCTAGAAACAGACCAAAAAAGAAAATCTCATTTTAGCGTATTTAAAATGAATCTAGTGGAGCAATATTATATTTGTATTTGTAGTTCTATACTTGTGTTATTTCAATATACGCACTTATTCTACTTGGTATTCACATCTCAACATGTATTAAATCAGATTGGACCGGTAAATTACATAGAGATTATCTCTTTTCTAATCTTACTTTGTTTTCGATAAATTAGCTTGTGCTACATGGTCACCACCAGCAACAATTATTCTGTTGATATTTCTCGCATTTGAAGCGATTTCGTTCTCAGTTTTCACTGCCATCATGACTGGAACACAACTATATTCAATATACACTGATATAACTGTACTCATATTCTATAATCGTATTCATTTTTCTTTAACAAAAACCTGATGTCTTTTATTTTTAGGGTATTGAATCATTTAAAGGTGAAAAGAATGATGTCCGTCGTCATAGTTCCTTTATTTCATCATTAAAAATGGTTTTTGGCTCCCAAGTTGGTTTAACATGGTTTAATCCTTTTTCAAAACCAGTGAATTTAATCACACAAAATGATGAACGTGTGACATTTGATGTTTAATTTAAAACATATTGATAATATTTTTCTTTATAATTATAATAATAATAAAAACCAACTACCAAAACAGCTCAAATTGAACGACACAAAAACTTTTTTTACCATTTAGTTTTTTTTTTCAACAATAAATTACGAATACAATATAGAAAGATGCATGAAATAGTAGTTTTATTTGTCATTGTTCATACTATTTTCAAGTTTTTTTAACGCATCAAAGATAATACAAATGTCACCTTTGAGATCAGATATGATTTGAGCGACATGTTGAGTATTTGAAACAATTTCAATACTTTGATTATATGGATTGTAGCGTACTGCAAAAGGCCGTTTAATTGATAAGGCAAATTGTCTACAAATAAAACAGCACAGTTAGATTTTGTGTTTTCTTTTCGATATTATTTTGCTTTTACCTCATTTTTTCTTTTGCTTCAACAAAACTAGCCGAAACAAAATATTGATGTTGATACGTTGTTATTAAGCACTTTGTTTTGCATACAACATCAGGATCGAATTGTATCTTTTTTGCTTGATCACTCAATGCATACTGTAATTCGGAACAGGATGAAAGTAAACCGGCACCGTATGCACGAAGACCATCATTTTGACGGCATAGACCAAATTCAATAGTAAAAAAATAACACTAAACAAAATCAATTCTTGCATGTCAATCGTGCATTATCAATGTAAGGAGAGTTTCTCCATTGTTACGAGCAAAGTTGTACAGCAGTGTCCAAGGACTGAGAAATAAGAATTCCTAATGTGTCAAGGAATTGTCAGTGCCGCTGTGATAATTCCTAGAGGAAGTGAGAATCAACTATAGGTCCCCTCACAGTTCCACCATTCACGAAAGTTGCGATATTGCTGTTTTAAAAATAATTTTTGCATGAAATCATTGATTCTCACAATTTTGCAAGTGAAAATGAGTGTAAGAACAAAATTTATCGTGAATATTCCATATTTTTAGCTTTAGCATGCAAGGAACTGTAGGGGAACTGATGAGGAATTCTTAATTCTCAGTCCTTGACGAGCAAGAAACTTGAGCGCTAGCATAGCTTCGTTTTGAGCTTATCAATATTAAAATTAGCCATAGATAGTAAAACAAAACGTACCTCTTATCTTCACATGGTAGTCAACTCAGTCCTATTAATGAACATACGTTGCCTACTCGACCTCTATATGTTGTTGTATTTTTCGTTCTAGGCAAAACGACTGAAAAGCGGATCTCTCTTACTGTTGCCAATCGATTGATATCGTCTTCGGATGCGCCAATAGCAGCTAAACCAATTTCATGTGAAAATTGAGCAAAATTAGGATCAGCTAAGAGTGGAACATGACCAAATAGTTCATGGCAACAATCTCTATTTTGTTGAAAAAAGTAAAGTAAACTATTTTTGCTGTGAATCCTATATCAAAGCTTACGGTTCAGGTGTATATGATGGATTTGATGAATGCCGAATATATTGCGTGCAATGGAAAACACGAAATGCCAGACCATACAAGAAATCTCGTGGTGATAAATAACCAGCAACTGGCCGTAATGTAAATCCAGTACGGTCCCTAAGAAAACGCGATATATCGTCTAACTGTGGAATATTGTCTTCTCTAAATAGAGTGAAAAGAAATAGCTAGCAAAAATTATTTTCAACTGTTAATCTACCGAAAGCCACATTTTTCTCTTAATAATGGCCAATTAGCCAAATATTCATTGCAAGCATGTGTTGGATATAATTTATTTAAATTTCGAAATACGGCACCCCTATTTGTAATATAGAGAATAAAAATTCGAAGTTCTATTGGGAAAACGTTTTACCATGTTTCTGTTTCTTCTTTAGTATATTCTACGCGTGGAATTGGTTGTCCACTGAAAAATGGTATGATCATCAATTAGTGAGACATACAAAGAAAATTAAATACATACTGTTTATATGCAATAGCTACATCATGAAAATACATGCGACGAGCTCGATAAACCTTATCGGTAAAACCCTAAAGAATGTTTTTTTATGTTGATAAGTAAAATAGAAAAATAGATCCCTAGATGAAATGCATACAGCCAATAGTTTGTCAAAATGCGTGGATCAATGGAAATAGTTAACCCGTTATAGTTCTATGGCATCCACTTGGCCCTTCGTTCTATGCCTCGAGAATTATTCACTTTGGAATCAGGTTTCCTCAATGTAAGTACTCAAAGGTCCAGAAAATCGAACTTCAATCAAATGAGATGCGAAAGTGGCCCACTCAACAAGTTAGTGTTGGTGAGGAATAAAGGCGCAAGAATAAAAACTCCTAACATTCTCACTAATCATTCGACGAGAGAAAAATCAATTTTTTAATGAGTCAGATAAAGCTTGTGAATGCATACTGGGTGATCAGCATCAAGATCTGATCCATATAGAAGAACTTTATTTGAGCATTGATCCAAATCATCGATTCGGCGTGGAAACCAAGGCGTTTCTTCGGCTTCGACTAAAATGAAAATAAAACACAAATGATTTATCTTACTTAAAAAAGAAAACACTGAGGATCTCTAGCGCACAAAAAAAGGCTATCACTATTTTATTTTTTCGCAGACCTCTTGTTGGCTTTATTGATTTTTTTTTCGGCCTCTTAATGCTTTTAGAAATGAATAGGTTTTGCTTTTTCTTATTGGCAAAAGCATCATCGCAGCTGTTTGCTCGTGAACGCATTGGTTCAAATTCATAATCATCTGTATTTGCATGAATCGATGAAAACATTGCGCCATATTTCAGATGTTTAACTCCAGCTGGATACATCCATAATGTATCATCACGTTTAACAATTACTGAGCCTGTCGTTTGCATTGATGGATGAGAAGAAAGACTCCGATTCAATGATCTCCATGATGATTTTTGATCATCATCACTGCTTATCGTATCATCAATAGATTGTGTTGATGAAGCTACGTCAGAAGGAGGAGCGCCTATTGGCATCACAAAATTTGTAACTGGATTTCGAATAAAACCAGTAAACTTCACCACGGGATTAGTCTCGACATCCAATGAAATCCACGATGATGATGGCGAATCATTTGATGTTGTTGCATGAAACATAGTCGAATTATGACTGCAATATGTACGCAGACAACATTGATCGTTGGGTGATGAGGACGGTGGAGATTCTATTGTTGATGATATTTGATCAATATTTTGAACAAGTTGATGTAATGGTGTTAGATTTTCTTTTAAATTGGATATTTGTCGCTGAAGATTAACAACTGATTCTGTTGCTTTTTCAAGTTTTGCAAGATTTTGTATACCACGAATCATATGAAGCCAATCATTGGTAACAAACAATGGTAAACGAGAAAATAACTGATTCCCATGTATTGTTTTCATAACTGATAATAAGCCCGTTGAGTTGGTTAAATCCGTAGAACATTGTTGAATAATACTGTAAATAGCATGATCTTTATTCAAATCCAATGTTAATAAGCAATACGTTAAACAATTATTTAAATTCGTATAGGCTTGATTGATTTCTTCGGTTGAAAAATATCGTTTTAAATTTTCTTCAATTTCAATTAATGAGTCTTGACCAAGTATATTCGATAGATAGCATAAAACCCCATCGTAACAAAGTACGGATAATGAAATGTCTGTTTTCGACGATATATAAAGATGTCGGCTGAAAGCAGCTTTTAAATGGCATGAAGATGCTTTCAGAGGATTTTTTATAGGACCCTTAACGGGTGCCATTCAAGTTTTTCTTATGTTTTCAGCAGCAAAACAAAGAATAATACAATATGCGAAGGTTTTTCTTGGACTTTATATAGACGAAATAGTTATTCTTATGACTCAATTCAATCTATATAAAGAGAAAATATTGAATACCAATTTTGATTGTATTGATTTGAATCAATACTAGTCGAGGGTAAGATATATATAAAATAGTAGCACCATACAACTCGCGTACATTTTGTATATGATAGAATATACGTGATTTTAAAAGAGACAAAAGTAGAAAAAAAAATTAATATGTTCAACTAAAATCTGAATATATTGGATTTAACTATAGGTATGGATAAGAGCAACACATTAGTGATGAATACGATAGAAAATCAATTCTAATTAGTTCGTATATATATATAGACGACTCTATAATTATACTAAATGTAACAAACAGACAGTATCGGACGGACTCTGCTCTTTTAAAAATAGCAGCAGCATTTTTTTTATTGCACTCGAAGTCAAGCAATTTAGCACATCTGACGCGTTTTTTTTATTAGTTTTTCCCTGTCAATCAACTTACTTTGACGCGATATCGGTTCACCGTTCCTATCCAGAAAGGGTGATGGCGGTGGTAAATCTAGGTCATCATTTCCATTTGAAGTAGCATCATTGTTCGTAGTAAAAACATCGTCATTATTTTGACTTATACTTTCAGCTAAATTATTTAAATCAAATCGAACACAAGATACTTGACGTTTCAATTGATTCATAGACTCATTGACACGATTACGATCAGCTTCTAGATCAACATAAATTTCATATTCCGAATTTGTTCGACGTGAACGACGAGATTCAATGTGTACAACATTGATGCCGTTTTCCTTTTGAAATAAAAGATAATTGCTTTTGTATTAAGTTAGACGCGTAAACTTTTAGAACGACTCATTCTTTCGAAATTTTCTGCAAATGAAACAGAGACAATTTTATAACTCCTTTTCAAGTGGTTATAGACGAAACACAGCTCCGTCGAACTCTTTATCTCTATTCTGGGTACACATAAATTAATGTTCTTAGTTTTTGAAAACTTCCGAAGATGCAACGGCGCAATTTAGTCAGCAAATCTCAAATTTGTTTTATTAATATTCTCGTCAAGTATGCAGTCAACGGGGCAAAAAGAAGAACGCAAAATAAATGAAACTATCTGGCTTTTGACGAAAAAGGCGCGTCCTTGTCAACATTTGAACTGCGTATATTTTTATACCTAGACTTTCCTAACTACATATTTTGTATGATTGTGATGAAATATTGATCACAACAGAATTTTACTAACGACAAATATTGTCTCTTCAACATTATTTCAATAGTGGAAATTCATTGTGAATAATTTTCTCGAAATATACACTGCACAACTAATTGGCGTACTTTATGGAAAGAACTTAAAATCAATTTCAAAAATGATATTCATTCGATGGGAGATGCATTTTTTGTTTTGCCAGAAAACTTGAAAATTTTAAAATAGCCTTCGTCGGTCAAGTATATAAATTAATAACTGTTGAGTTTTTTTATCACTTATGCGCCAGATGTTAAATAAAATGCTTATGTCTGATGAGAAATTAGTATTTCGTAATAAAAATGATCAGATAAATTTAGAGCTTCTTAACTAGTGCAATCGAACAATAGAACTCGACGTTTTAATTTAAATATAAATATATACGTCTGATCTGACAAGTCTTCCGAGTGATGAAAAATTACTCTGGATTTGACAGGTTGCATATTATTTAGACTCGAAAGACTTATAAATATCATTAAAAAAGGCCTAGCGAAATAAGTTCATTGCATCAAAGAAACTATTCTTAATAAATAAAAAAATGTGGAAACTTCGGATTTCATCCGAGAGTTATGTGTACTGCAAAAAGTGCATGCGACATATCAGTCATTCTAGAATGCCTGAACACGAAAATTATCATGAGAAGCTAGACAATTTGATTTCTGGATGGAGTTTTTGTGAATTTTGAGACGTTTTTCAGGCGATGTTTCGTTAGAAAGCTATGACTTAGTTCAAAACTAATATCAGATTTAGAATCAGCGTTAAAAACTGAGTCGATTTATATATGTTGTGAATAATTCTGAGAAAATTTTTTTTTTGAAAAATCCCTGTACTCCCCCTCAGGGATGGTCTGATCAAAAATGACAATTTTTTCGACAACTCAGCCATTTCTTGACGGATCCTTCTCATCTTCGAACTCGACCTAGATATTGATAAGACAATTCTGTGCACAAAATGTCAGCTCAATCGAATGTAATTGTGAAGAGTTATCGAATAAACGGACGGACGGACGGACGGACGGACGGGCACACTGACCGATTCTATAGTGTACTCTTTTTTTTTTGAGTACACAAAAAGAGTGTCCCATCTGTATATTCTTATTTTAGAATATAAGTAGATATTGCAATAAACTACTCTAATTACGAGCTGCCTCTCTGTAAACGATCTTGTTCAGCATTCGAGCCTGAGCATTTCTGAGAGAATAAAAAGATCGATTAAAAAAATACCGTAAACGCTAAATGGTGTCAATTACTTGTTAAAACAAAAGAAAAAGACGTACCTGAAATACTTTAAGGGCTCTTGCTAAACCTCCTACTCGATTTTTAATTGAGAAAATAAATGATGTTGTTTTTCCTTGTTCAACAAGTGATTGTAATGTTTCTGGCGGCATTTCATGATTGAACGTATGTAATGTTTCTTGATCGTCCACATCCTCACGTAATGCTGATAATCGATGCTAAATAAATAATATATTTTACTAAATATTAGCTTTTACAGCAATGCTTTTTTATCCTTACTTCAAGGCATCGGAAATAAGATGATTTGTACGACATCGTTGCTTTCTATGAACGCTTCTTTTAATAATAGAAGACACGAACTTGATCAACCATTTTTATATCGGATTGAATTAAGACAACATATTTCCATATTGGATTTTTTGTTTCAAAATGGATGCGTAGGAGGCATACAGATATTTTCTGCTCATTTGCAAAACAATTCAATGACAGTAATGAGTCTTCCATCGTATCTGATCTTACATAATATCTACATTTTGACTTGAACATTGAGAAGCCATTAAATAAGATCTTTTCTTTCTCTCTTCGACATATGCTGGCAATTTGAGATGGTGAAGGCTGATTTAATTATTGATATCAGCTATGTTGATCGTGATAAAAAAATGTTGTTTCGGTTTTGTCCTTGACAAACTGATCTAATTATCCTACGCGCTGAGAAAAAAATCTACAAGTACAGCAAAATACAATAATTCTTTTATTATGATTCAGATACATGGAATCTTCGATGCTAATTCGTGAGCATTTTTACAAAATAATACATTTTTCTATTTACTTCAAATATCAAAGTTTGACTATAATAACTCGTTTTTCGTAATACCCTCCTTTCAGTAGAGGGAAAAAACGGTAGTGAATCATCAGTGTTGATTAATATTTTATTTTGATAAGTTAGTTGGAAAGATGATCAGATTTGCAAAGGAAGAAAATACACACCCACATTTATATTTATGTAAATTTTTTTATCAATCCACAACAGTACTCATATCTAATAAAAACAAGTTGGACTGCGAAATTCACTGTAGCATCGATTTGCCTGAGTTAAGACACATTTTCAATCTGGAGCTTACAAAGTTTCTGAGGTTCTAGAGAATGAATGCCACTGTTATTCGAAAGAGAGTTATTTCCTTTACCAACCACACGTTTTTTTTCCAACTTTTAATAACCAGTCAAGTCCTAGACTATACAAATCAATATGAAAATCAGTCAAATGATTGACGAGAGTAACTCACTACGATCATTTGTAGCAGGTGTTATCTTCCGATACGGTATAACTGTGATAATTAAAAATTGCAGCTGCTAAAATACTTAGCGTGACTCGACTATGATTCAATGCACACCAGGGCTAAACTTGGGCTTTTACAGATGCCAAATAGTTGAGCAATGCCATTTTTATGGTCATTCGTCGGGCTAACTGCGTTTCGGCATCTATAAAAGGAATCATTTATTTATTTCCAGTTATTGGTCTGACAATTTATGCAATCATATTGTTTTATGTGTAAAAAAAGTTTTTTTGTTTGAAAAAATGAAACTGTGAATATAAAAAAATTCATTAAATGAGGCTATGATACATGAAGCGCTTGTCATTTGATTTTAAAAACTACGAAACGAATGAAAATCATTTTCCGATATATTAATTTCTGGTACTGAATGATTTGAGTTTGTTACAAATGATGATTGATACAGATAGGACATTCGTCCTGGTTGATTTCGCTCATGAGTCCATTCAGTAAGAAATATGATTTGCCTATGACGTGGTGGAATACAATCGTGTGTTATAAACGATTGACGAGAACTAGAAATACACGTTGAATCAGTCATATCGATATCTAGATTTAAATAATTAGTGAACGATGAATTTTCTGCGATGAACATGGAAAAATGACATTTTTTTGGTGCTGTATAATAATTAAAATCTGCATCCTAGAAAAAGAGAAAACACAATGAGAACAGAAAATAACTTTTAGAAGTCTAAATAAATTACTGTAGTTTTATTAATGTTTTCTTTTGACACAGCTGCAATTAAACAATCAGCTAGAAGAGTTGCTGGTTCATTAGTAACTTGTATATCTATTGGAATTTTTGAATGCATGACAAGTGTGTAATGTCGTTCAGTGTCATAATATTTTTCATTCCAAAAACCAGTAGAAAATGGTACAAGCACATAGAAACCAGGACTTAATGAGCCTGTCCAATGTGTGAATGCTCCATAGTGTGATTTCAATATAGCAACAGATTTACCGATATCTCTATCTAATCCATATTCAACATCACATAAAATAAATGATTGTGTATGCGTAAGAGTTGATCCACGATTTTTACGATGGTAGATAAGACTAATATCAAAATTTGATGTTCTAAAATAGAAAAATAATAAATGAAATTTCAATGGTATTTTTTTAGATTTGTTTTCTAAATTGGAATTTACTTTAATTCTATTCAGTAAAGCAGAACTGTCAAAAATATAGAGTGTGAATAGTTTGAACTAGAAATTTCGTCGTAGACATGAACATACTATTGTAGGTACTTCAAATATTCAATAGAATAGAGCTTTACGTTGGAGTATTTCCGATTATTTTTTGATTAAAAATTAGTTAACTACGTATGTTTCGCATAAATATTAGATATACAATATGGAATTATGATGAGTAGAGTCCATCAAATCTGGGTCTGAACATTTTTGCTCATCAGATTTCGATTGACAGAACAATTTGATCTGTATTATAATATTTTACGGAATTTCCTAAAATTTTTGTTGGTTTTGTTCAAATAATCTAAAGCTTACGTATAAAAAATGTCTTGGGAGTTTTAAGAGCATCTTTAAATGCTGGACCCCGGAAAAATTTGACCAGTCGGGTCCAGAAATCTTTGAACCCGATGAGCTTTAGTGACGAGTCTGAGTGCACTCTGTTGTAAACCCTTTATCATCTACATGAGAAAAAGGTCACAAAAAATAATTCTAGCTTGGTTTCTATCCAAAGAGTAGGAGAGAAAACTTTTTCATTCACATGTTCATGTGCATGGCGGACAGGGTGGCCAGATCTTCTGAAAAATAGGGAAAATTTCTGAATTTTGAACATGTTTCTACTTTTTTTTCTGATCTTCTGAGTTTTTTCTCAATTTGGAACTTATCGTAATCCGAGAATATAAAACCAGATAATGCTTAACTTAAAATAAAAATGAATGGCAATTATTCTTGAGAAGGTTTTATTAGCATATGTTATCTTAAACTTCCTAGAGCGAATTCCAAAAGATCCGAAATATGAATAACACTACCGAGATGATGGGATTTAACGTTTTTTTTCTCGTTCGACTTCTTGATCTACGCTGAATGTATTTGATTTAGTTTTGCTCGTTTTTGTGAACGAGTTTTAAATTTAAAACGAAGCTCAACATTAAGTATCTTTTATTGATGTCTTCTTATTAGCTAAACGATATATTCACTATATTGTCGTTCGTTTTATTGAAATATCTTTGAAAATAAAGTTCCAGTCAATGAGCAGAAACGCAGCAGAACTTTTGATGTCAGTATTTTAGCGGAAGATGTACTAATTTGCCAAAAACTGCCATTTTCTGATTAATTTTTGATTTTTAAATTTTTGATCTGGCCATCCTGATGCCGGATCTCAGATACTGGTACAAACATAAAACTTTCAATCTGATTCAGTATTGAGCCTGAGTCTCATTTTTTATTCTTTTTCAGGTTCACGAAAGCTTGGATCTAAAGTTCTCTAATCTATAGTGAATATGTTACTTATATACCTGTTTTTTCCTTATTAGTAGAATATATCGAGCAGACTTACTTGGACACATGAAAATGAAATGATGGAATTGGTTTTGCTGATGATTGAGTAAATTTGGCCACTTCTCGCACGTCGTAATTATCACTAGCATATGATGATATGGTAATAGAACTGAAGAACTTAAGAAATACAGGCCAAGAAATCCAAAAGGCACCGGATGGTAAACCAAATGAAAGAGTCGAATTTAATCGATCACGAATAGATGATGTTATGAATTCTTCGTTATAATTTGTTTGAGCATGCGGATCTCGAACCAGTACGAACTGCATAGATATCTGTGATAGGAAGCATGCAGCAAGTATAGAAAATGCATGGCAACTATGAATATTTGCACGTTTATAGTCTTCTTCACTCACATCGGCACAACCAGTTGTTGCGCCGATTAGCAAACTAAAAATGAGCGTTTCAAAAATAGGTATTTATCAGAGAGAACATTAACCTACCCCGCTTCAGAAGCCGATAAAAGTTTTGCCCAAATAATATCTTGATCAAGTATATCAGTCTCTGAATTTAAATTAATTCGAACGCATGGAGCACCTGTTAGTATGTGTAGACCCTCTTCTGTCTGTCCAGCAGTTAAAGCTGAATATGAACCGAACAATTTTGCACAGGCTTTTTCAATCAATGGAACATACAATTGCCGCTGATTTGATTTTGAAAACGCTAGTTGTTTATGTTCCGTACAAGGAAAACAATCATCAACAACAATTGTTTTCCATAAACCATTATGACATAATCGTATGAGATAAACACCTTCTTGATTGACTTCTTTTGTTAATATAATATGTTCAAGCATTTTCGGTCTTTCAGTGACTAAAGCTAAGGCAGCCATCAGCCAACAATCACCAAGTATACCCTGTTGAATATCACTTGACTTTGGCGATGAATAAACAGTCCAATTAAAACGATTGTCACTTGATGATGAAGCTATTTCAGAAATTCTGAACCATTCAAATGTGCCATCAATATTTCCAACCGAACGAGGTGATGGAAGAAATTGATCATCGACGAAATGAGTTTTTGCCTAATACAAAGAAAACAATAGCAAGCTAAATAAAATATGACGTTATTAATTACTTGTCGACAATAGGATTTGATATTCTGAAAGGTTTTTTGAGCATTGTTTTCATCGTTTTGTCGTCGATCGAGAACCTGAAGTGACATCGATGTTGTTGATGATTCATTTGCATTCATCTAAATTGTAGTAAAATAAATATTCATTATAAAGATTCTTTTTTTCTTTGTATTTGAACAAATTCTTACCGTTGAACTATTAATTAAGTTACCAGTAGTTGATTGAGAAAGCTGTTGGTCACATAATTTACACTTAGGAAACACTGATAACGGATTAGTGTACGTACAAAATTGGCAGGACCATTGGTTGGTATCGACGCTTACTAATATTTCATCAAACATCGTATTACTCGCCTTAGTTATGTTATATGCATAAAATCAAGTGATGTGAAAGGACTAATTGCATTCACCGTTCTCTTTTATTTCAGCCGAATGATGATTTTCAGTAATGACGATTTTATTTGCGCTATAGAATAAAAATCAAACACTCAAAGGAAAGAAACAAGTTGAGTCATTATCGCAAGGCTTTTTCCATATGTCATCAAACAGGTAAACATAATATTACTAAATTTTTGTTGTAATTACTTGTCAAGCGACAATCCGTTGCAATATCATAATTAAATATATATTTTTTTCTCCGTCATTATTAATCTAGAATTTATATCGAAAAAATATTGTTGCCAGTTGATGTTGATTCATGCTATTAAAATTCACATCTTTTATAAATTATTATATGACTCATCATAGACATTTTCTCACGGCAAAAGAAAACAATGCTGTTTATACAAGATATGACAGTAATTAAAGCAAAGCCCATTAATATTGACGTAGATATGATCTGACATAAAAAAATATTATTCTTTAATCACTTTGGTCCGATGAAACATTGAAAAATCAGAAAATATTTTTTCAAAATCAGAAGCCAATCAGAAATTAGTAAGAAAATGGCAGTTTTTGGCAAATTAGTACATCGTCCGCTAAAATACTGACATCAAAAGTTCTGCTGCGTTTCTGCTCATTGACTGGAACTTTATTTTCAAAGATATTTCAATAAAACGAACGACAATATAGTGAATATATCGTTTAGCTAATAAGAAGACATCAATAAAAGATACTTAATGTTGAGCTTCGTTTTAAATTTAAAACTCGTTCACAAAAACGAGCAAAACTAAATCAAATACATTCAGCGTAGATCAAGAAGTCGAACGAGAAAAAAAACGTTAAATCCCATCATCTCGGTAGTGTTATTCATATTTCGGATCTTTTGGAATTCGCTCTAGGAAGTTTAAGATAACATATGCTAATAAAACCTTCTCAAGAATAATTGCCATTCATTTTTATTTTAAGTTAAGCATTATCTGGTTTTATATTCTCGGATTACGATAATCGGACTATAAATGCTTATATGACCGAAAATCAATTCGACGCCAGAATTCGAACGAGGAATATAAAAGGTGATTAATAGAGAAAATTCATGAAAAACCATTGATTTATTATAGTAATGGGTTATAATCGTACATAGTTTCAGTGGGAAAGCAGCGATCTCAATATGTTCGCAATTGAGAAAAAAACAGAAACATGTTCAAAATTCAGAATTTTTCCCTATTTTTCAGAAGATCTGACCACACTGTCTTTAGTGCACAAAAAAAACACGATCGTCCAGACATAATTAATCTCAAACATTCATCGGCTATCGTATTCGAATTATTGATAGTTGCAAAAATAAATGAAGAAACATCTTACTTTAAAAAAGAAAATGAATCTCCTATGACAATTATTCTAATTTCGATTCTAATAAAATAACACTTCGTGTCTCTTCAAATCATATTTTGTATCGTAAATTTAGCATACCTTGTACCACAAACTTTGCAGAATTAAGAGTTTTGATATTAGTCGTGATTTAATAGAAGATACATTTATTAAATATTAGAAAAATATTTTTATCTCGCAAGAAAGTTCTTGAAAATAGTAGTAGGGGTAACTATTGCTTGGAAGAGCAATTAAAGTTGGTGTTTACAATGCTAGCCTATAATGTAGTACAGTAATTCGATGTTGAATTGATATATTCATTAAAAAAGAACAGAGTCAGGTTTTTCTTTTTCATTTGATTACCATAGTAACTTGTATTTATTTTTCTACTAGTCTTCCTTCGTATCATTAGTATCGACGTTTTCTTCACTGTTGGCCGCAAGAAAATCTTTTTCATTAACTTCTTCGACTTGCAAATATCGTTCACCGTCAACATTAGTCCAGTATTTATTTCGCGCTAAGTTTCGTTCCGCAGACTCCATTTCATTTTCGATGGCAAATACAATACGTGCTCGTTCTAAATGCCTATTAATTTAGGGAAGAAAACAAAATGTACCAAAAATTTAAAATAAAATTTTATAAGAAAACTTTTACTAAAATCTCAATACTGACCATACTTGTGTTGCACCTTCAATAATGTTTCCATAGGTATCACCCATCATAGCAACAAGTAAATTAAGTAACAATATCGTAACGACAATTATATAGAAAAGAAGAAAGGTAACACTAATATACGAATGTTTTGTTTCAGCATATGAGTCAAGATCGAAATCTCCAAGCATGCCCAAAAAACACTGTTTGACACTTGTAAGAAAGCCTGTGAAGCCTTAAATAAAAACAAAAAACGATCTGTATTTACTATATTAAATTCTTTTTCTTACCATTGTAATCAAATAGAATGAAAAACGTCTGTGAAAATCCTATGAGAAATACAACGTAAATGATACAAAATCGAAGAACATCATTAAAAAGCATTTCATATATCATCACAACAAATGGACCAGTCAATCGAAACGCCATAACGAAGAAAAGCATATAACCCCAGCCGAGCAATGATGCTATTGCTAATGCTGCTGTTTCAGCTTCCATATTTAATGCTCGCAAGATATTGACTATGAAAATAGTTGAACAGAATGAACATGCTAAACAATTTTCCAGAAGACCAGAACCCTACACAAAATTAAATCATTTATCTACGAATAAATACATGAAAATTAATATTACCGTTGTTTGAAAATATTTTCGTATACCTAAAGTCGCTATCTCTTTAAGTTCAGATCGACCTTTCCATATAGCTCCTGCTAGAACAAAGAAACGGCCGATAGTGCAAATTGTTTGGCACAGCATTCCGGCTGGTTCAACACTTATTGTTTCTGCGTCATCACCTTCACCTGTAATCTACAGGAGAACAAAACAAATCCAATTTATTGGATATTTTTAGAAAAAATAAATCAACCGATTAATGCTATAAATCGTTCAAGTTGTAACCTCGAATTGCAAGCTACTATTCAAATGCGAGATGCTTAAAATTGTTTTTTTTGTCGAAACTGAACTGATTCAAGATGTACTAATTGTTCGAATAGAAATATTCTCTTTAAAGATTTTCTTTAGTTTAATAAAACAAACTTTTCTCATTCATCTATTCGAGTATTTCATTTTTATGTTTGTAAACATGTAAATGTCAGAGTTGACTTTAAAATTCAGTTGCTTTTAAAAGGCAACTAGTTGACTTTAAAATATAACTAGTTGACTTTACAATTTATTTTAAAGGCAACTGAATTTTAAAGTCAACTCCGACATAAATATGTCCACGCACTCACATTTTTTCTTTCCTTTTCAGGCTATAAATCTGATACCGTGACGAAAGAACAAGAGAAATAATCGACAATATTCTACTAATATCATCGTCTTGTCATCCTTTTATCATATTTCAAATCTAGCAGGCAAAGAAAAATGCGCGCACGTTGGCGTCTATATATATATATATATATATATTAGGCTTAAAAATATTAAGATAAAATAGCCTACCGAAGGCAATTTCGTTTTTAAAAATATTACTGAAAATAAAAAGATGAAACCTAATCTATATAAACTTGCATGACCTTCATTCAGTCATAAACTAATTGTCAGTGTTTTTTATCATAAGAAAGTTACCATAAACAAGTAAATGTATATATTACCGTTTCATTTCGTGTTTGATCGAGAATAGTTGTAATGAGAAAAACGGTTAAATAAGAGAATGTCACCAAGAAGCGATTAAAAAAGATTCTTCTTGCAAAACGCTCCCATTTTTTATTCACTAAATCAATCATACGCGGATGCATAATAAGTTCGACATGAGCATTTTGTACAATAAGTTCAAGAGCACTCACTGGTGATTCAATATTCTAAATCAAATAAAAAATATTCTTTCGGTTAGAGATATTTCAATATAAATAATATTATTTTTCTACATCTTCTTCTCGAAATTCTAAATCGACTTGATCAAGTGGATAAAGTACACATGCAACAGGTCCAAAACTCCATTGAGTTATTTTACGTTCTTCAAGTAAAAATGAAAACATATCAGCTTGGCCCAATTTTGCAGCTAATGTTAACGGAGTGTAACCCTCCTTGTTTAAACGTTTCCATAATGGAGTAATACGTTGATTCTCTATTCGAAAATATTCATCGTCATCATCTTCGTCACTTGAACCTTTATCTGCTTGCTGTTCGGCTATCCAACGTTCTTTATATTTAGTGTACATTTCAGGTAAATTACGAATAACAAGTAAATGTAATACAGTATTACCATTGGAATCAACCTATTCTATCGAATATATTTAGAGAAAGGTACTAATAATAATATAACTGACTAACCACGTCCATGGAAGCGCCAAATTTAAGTAAGATTTCGACTATATTCCATTGATTGGTACAACAAGCAAAAGCTAACGGAGTTTCACCATAATAACACGGTCGACCTCTAACGAAAATCAAAATATTAACTAAACGAAACAAAAAAAACTAATTACGCGAACATACTCTTGAAAAAATCTTCCACTAGCTGTTGACGTTAATTGTTGTTCTAGATAGGCTCTATTGTGTTCCTCGCCTAACAACCATTCCACCATTGTTGGGTTTCGTTTAATAATTGCAATATGAAGAACCATTTCACCGTAATATTCCTAGAAAAAAGGAGAATAACCGTTTCTTTTGTTTTGATAGAATAATAATAAACATTTGTTATCTACCTCTTTATTATAGATTTGCGTTATTGTATGTGGAAAATTTATAATAAAATATCGAGCCATATTAAGATGAGTTTCAGTTCCATACAAAAATAACATATGTATAGGACATTCGCCAACCGGACCACGTGCATTAGCATTACTTGGATTTTCGTTAAGAATACGCTTGAAAGCTGCTTCATCTGCTTTGCGTACGGCTTCCCAAATGGTTCCACCTTTACGTGAATTTTCAGTTTGTCGTTCTACTGCTGATAATACTGATTCATCTTCATCATGTTTTCCTGTAAGTTGTTTTTCTGTTGACGCCGTCCTAGCGAGCAAACGAGTCCATACAGAAGCCACAAGTTCCAATGGTTCAGTCATTGTGCTAATGATTAACTAATCGTTATTATTTTCGCGAAAAAGATGGTAAATCACAATCTACGACACATCATACACGTTTCACGAAGAGAGAGAAAAGACGATAATTGCAAATTGCCTGCTGTGCTTTTGCCGTTTTGCTTTTTCTTTCATTTTTTTTCTTCCTAGTCCGGTTTACGTTGTATTCATGCAGCAATATCATCACTCACATTGATCAGTCAAGCGTAAAATGTATGCAAAAAAAACTTGCAAGGGCAACTATCTCACGAATGATTGGTGTCAAAATATGTTCATCAATTAATTGTACTTTTCAAATTTTCTTTGATAAGATGATTTATTCGATACTCATTATTGTTTTTAATATATATTTTCAGTCATTAGTATATACCAAGGTGTGCTATAGATTATTTGACTTTTCTCGTTTGTAAACAAATCAACACTGTCCTTTAGTTTTGCCAATCACCTATCTCTAAATGTCACTCAAGACAACAAAAGAAAAATATTAAAATCTATCTTTCGTTCTCATAGATAATAGTGTCGATAGTCACTTAGTACAAATAGAAAAGCACTACTTGCAAAATTATCGCTTAAATAGCAAAGCATAAACTTGAATTTACTAAAACATATTTATGAGAAATTACTACGACACATTACAAGTATATCAACAAATGTATTCAAATACGGATAGACCACAACAATCGATGCCGTCGTATGGACGAGATACTTTCAGGGGAGAGAGAACTTCGGCTTGTACAATGTTGATTAAGTATCATTGTAATATAATCGTTCGAAAAGCGAAAACAATTTCGAAATTGGAATTGATAAGTTTCCTTGATAAATGCCAGCGTGAAATAAAACTTTCATCGAGCGAATCACATCTTACAAGTTTCAACTATATTCTAGTTACACTTGTTCTTATTCGGCCATCAACATTAGTAGAAGTTACGCGACACAATTTTTTCAGTCTATTACGAAGACCATTGATGAGTACTATTGACCAGTGGTTTCAAAATTGTAAATTAGATGGAAAACAAGGACTTTTTTTTCGAAATGTTACAAAATTTTTAAAATTTTTATTCAAGAATACTGAAACGTTCGACTTCAATCCATCGTGGCTATTCGCGTCATCACTTATCAGCATGATCGCTACTCACACTGCAGATTTAGTTAAATCCAAAAAGTATTTTTCGGACAAAAACAAACGTGAACTAAAAAGTTTTACACGATTATTTGGTATCTATGTTGATTATCAAGAACGAATCAATAAAGAAAAGAGTTTTCCAAAGGATATATTATTTCAATTTGTTGGTCCTATTGTTCGTTGTCTTTGTTCAAATCATTATATTGATTCGTTTGAGATGGAAGAAACAAGTAAAAATATGATGACAACAAAAGAAAGATTTTTTCTTATTCAATGTCCATCATTTATTATATCTTACAATAGTACGAAATTATTGTTTTATTAGCCCAGGCCGACCTGGGTTTCAATAATACGAATTTAGAAATCTTTTTTTTTCGTTCTCTAGGTAGCCGCATTGAACAAATGATCACCAGTTTACTTACAGCGATGGTATCTCAATATGTGACATTATTAAATAAAACGATTCCATTTATCTTTCAATGGAATCAATCAATGTTTGACGCCATAAATCATCTATTAAAATTAGCCAATCATGAATCAGTCAATGTAAAAGTTTTTATTGATCATCTACCGTTTGTCAATCATATTTTAACTTTAATTGATACATCAATGTTGTATAACAATATGGTCGAATTACTATCTACCGAAGAGACAACATTAATCAATACAGCCATTAGTTTTCTTCTTAAAGTAACAAGTGAACCAACAATTTTGGCTCATATCAAACAACAGAAAACAACGTCTATACTGCTTCGTTTAACATCAACTCAGCATGAATCTTTAAGATTTAATACTTATATGCTTCTTGCTCATACAGCAACCGAAGAGGATATAAAAGCAATGCCTAAGCCAGGTATTTTAGTTACAGCAGTTTATAGATCATTAAAAACTCTTATTCGAGAAAAACCTGATGATCGAAAACAAATGCGACAAACTCTAGAAACACTGAAAAGTAAAGGAACATTGACTAATCAAATCATTTAATTGCATTTCGTTTTATTGAGATCTTGTTCAACATGATCAACTGAAGAAATCATGGATCAAAAGAAATGGTGTTCCAATTCTTGTGGCATGTACTAAAAAGTGTACTGAAGGCGTATTAACAACACTATTCGAAATTCTATGGGCACTATCATTTCTTCCAGACGCAGCAAATGTACTTCGTGCGGATACTGAATTTATTGACAAGATTCAAATGATATCGCAATCTAGTAGTACTGAAGAACTGAAAAGATTATGTCAAGGACTTGTTTGGAAACTATTACAAGGTCAGAAAAAATAAAATATTGGTTATATTTGCGTGACTAATATGTGAAATAAAATAATCGAAGAGAGAAAGAGAGAAAGAGAGAAAGAGAGAGAGAGAGAGAGAGATAGAGAGAGAGAGAGAGAGAGAGAGAAAGAGAGAAATAGCTTAGTTTTTATTTTCATTCATTTTACTTAGCATTTCTCATATGAAATAATCAAGTAGTTCATATTTTACAATGAGATATAATACTTATAATCCTGCATCGTACTCCTTTTACGATCATGCGCAATATATTGATTCTACAGGTTGAACAAGAACAACATCATTTCATTTTCTATTTGTACTGTAGTGAAATTGTTTTAAATAATCGTCAGAAGTCTTTGAATACATACAGATTTAAGGCATGGATTTAGATGATCGATAAAATAGATAGTATGATGAATAAGAAAAATTATTATAAAATCTGTTGATTGAATGAATGATCAGTTATATATTAAAGTACCAGTAAATTAGTTAAATGATCAGTTGTTAAAGTTAAAAGGTTATTTAATAAGATTGTAACATCCGTTAATAAAATAGAGTAACAGTCAGTTAAATCAAAGAAAAAGTAAATAAGCTAAAAAGTAGAGTAGCCAGAAGTTTACTAGTAGGACTCTCGCCAATGCTGGCGAAACTCCACCACATTTTCAATTATTAGAGGAAATTCTATTGATATATGATATGGACTCTTCACAAAGCCCCATGCAGTTTATATTACGTTCTTGCTAACTTTACGAATATACAGCAACTTTTGATCCATAGTTGAATAATTCAAAACCTGTCGTTACTATAGCGAGTTGTTTGAGTTGACTATCGTGAATATTGGCAAATGTCCACAAGCCTTTCGCTAATATTGCCAAAAGTCGAATCGACATTCGCTAATATACGCTCATGGGCTTCAGCCAGTAATTGGCGCAGATCATATTGGTGAAAATTGAGTATTCCAAAAAGTACAACAAGGTGATCTAGGGTGGACTGTGCCTTTGATTGTATTCGAAGAAATGAATCTAGTGGACACAAAAAACCACAGTCCCCACTCAACCATCAGTGCGATGGATATTTGTTTAAAAATTTGCAAACAACCATCGGCAGCAATGGCTGTCTCGATTGGTAGGAAAGTGTTAGTCTATCTAGACTAGACGTGGAAAATACATAAACCGTTTATTTCAAACATAAACAAAGGAATATATAGAGATGTATCCGTGAGGAAAAAAAGAAAGACAAAGAAACGAAAGAAAGAAAGACAAAGAAAGGTAGTAGGCCAAGTACAGCTTCACTGCCTAACAGAAAGGAAAGAGAAATCAACTGGACAAGGTAAAACGTGCTTTGCTAATGCAATCATTTATTTTTGATTTTTCTCATTTCAATTTTTTTCTCTTATCCTGGTCACAAAAACCGGGCGCAGATCTTGTAAGATCAGATTGAATGATATTATAAGATCTTACAGAAATCTTACAGTATGAATTGATACGATGATCTGACTTTATGATTTTTCGTATGATTTCATCTGATCTTACAAGATCATAGAAGATCTTACTGTCTGATTGTTTGACCTGGGTATTCGTTACTATACTTCATTAATAATTCATATCTTGTCTACTGATAAAATCTGCCTTATTTACTTATTTACTTATCAAATTTCTTTTTTTTACTGGTAGAAATGATATTAGAAATGCCTAAAAGATTTCGTGTCATTAGGCTTTTCTTTCAAAGTTATGACCGTTTTAGTGAATTTTCGACCACGGGCAAGGAATTTATAAAAAAAACTGAATGAAGGAATTTCCAGCTGAAAATTTCCGTAACAATAGGCCTCATCGATGTTAGAAGGCTCCGAAAGTTTCAGTGAAGACGGATGCGCCTTTCTCGAGATATTGCATATGGAAGAAAAATCAATTTTCAGATAGTTTTTGGAATTTCGATAGACTTATTCTTAGGCAAATCGATGTAGAACCCAATGCCCTATCGTATGTTACCATTCCAAAATGAAAGTAACATTACTGTGAAAACATATCAGAAGTATATCGTTTAATTTCGGCAATTGTAAGCTAAGGGTACAATATCCAGTCATTACTACCCTAGATTTTATCGAATCAATGTAAATCTACTGTCAAGCAACAGTGTTATATTATGCATCGAAGCATGCATATATTTTAATAATTCAAGAATGAGTAAATGTTACCGTTGTGTGCCCATACGCTTTATTAGTATATCAGCGAGAGTGTTGATTTGATCTGAATACGATGAATCGTATAAATTTACAACAGTAATCATTACGATAGAATCCCTTTATCGTTTTATAGAGAACAAACCACCATAAAAACTTCTTGGCTTTATCTTTTTCTATCCTAAATATATTTGAAGAGATAGAAAATGTCTCTTGACTACGAGATATTCACACACGGGTATACATTTTTTACGAAGGTATATTCTTCTCCTGTATCAAAGCTGCTAACAGTAGGCAAACATGAACGTGCGGAATGAAAGAGCCGATTTCAAGAAAAACATGACTTTTCGTTTAAAATATCCAATCTGTGGTTTCCCTCAGGGTCCTACGAATAAAATATTTTTATTCTAAACTTTTTTAACGGATTAGTCTCGCCCGCTAATTTTTCTGTATTTGAGATACCAACGCTTTACTTCACAAATCCACGTAGATTTCGTTGAAATTCCAGAGAAGCACCCAGGGGCCTTCCCTTGTAGGCAAGCCTTCGTATCTGGGTATTTTTATCGCAATAACTTAGTGTGATGGAAAAACGAATAGCAGTTTCACGATCAGCATGAAAAACTACGCTAATCACAATACTTTTTGAAGAAAAATATTTTTTACCGAAAATTCGGGACAAAGACATTTCGTACCAGTGTCCCAGACGCCCGGTAATCCGTTCAGATGTTCGGAATTGATTTTTACCTTTAAAAACAGTTACAGGGAGTACGTAACACATGTAGGTCAGGATATCTCATTTAAAAAAAATACAGGGAAATCGGAACGAAAGTTGTCTGCTTGTTTTAAATTTTTGTCATTCCGAAGAGTATCTATGTTTTTATGTCGGGAAATCGTAATGCAAAGTTAGTGCGAAATGTCTCGTTCCAGAAAATTCACCTGAAGGGGACCCCAAGATCAATTTTGAAAAACAAACTGCTCAGGAGTACTACAGGCGAATTTTTGGTAAAAAATATTTTTCTACAAAAAGTATCAAGTTAGATGCAGTTTTTCATGCTGATTCTGAATGAGCTATTTGTTTCTCTACCAAAGTAAGCTATGATGGTATAATCGCCTCGATACCAAGACTTAGATGATTTTCACTGACGTGAATGTGCCTATTATGCTCCGCACTAAACACTCGTCTGCATCTTGGTGATTTTTCAGTGACACATCAGAAGATGCAGAATTTCAAGCGCTACCAGAATGCATAGCTGCTTTCGTATTTACCTAACTAGAAAGTTTTAAAAAAAGAGAACAAACGTTGGTTTTGGTGAAATGTGAGGACTATGATGCCTGTATTGTGCTTTATTTTTTTTTCTCATCCAATACGTGTTATTCAAAAGGTTCTTGTATAGAATAGTAGAGAATTGCACGCGCTATCAGAATATGTCCGAATATTAGAATATATAAAAATAATATATGAAAACTAAACGAGCACAAGTGTTTTATTCAAGTGAATTTTTCTTGAAAATATCATGATCTTATTGAAAAACTTTTCGCTACTGACAATCGAAATAACAAAATTTTGAAAGGATCATTCGATGCAGTTTAATGTGTTCTTTCATATGAGACTATGTTTGAATTCACCCACCTCATTGATATGGCCAATCGGCGGCCCTATACACTGGCGCCCTAATTTCTGAGCCAGATCGATGGCACGGAGAAACTTTTTCAAACATAAGATACTTTCAATACTATGAAACAATAGCCCATTGACTACTACTATTAACGGTGAAAAACGTTTTGTTGCACCTCTTATCGTTCTTGAGAAAATGAAAATTTACTGAAAATTATCGAAGTAGAAAAAAATCCGACCCCGTCTTACTTCAAGTGCATATATTTCCAGAATGGATCATCCGTTCGAGCTGAAATTTTCAGTTTCTTGCTAACTTTGTTGGGGCTACCTACTTTAAAAATATGAGCCAAATCGGTGAGATCGATTGAGCAACCTTTTGCTGTAACTGGTCGTGGCTTACGTGCAATGCCTCTCATGGTATCCATCACCCACAACCACATTTGAAGTATCCCGCGCTCCTCCCCTCGTACCCACATCTCACTCGCACCGCCACCCAGTTATCCCTTAGTCCCTTCAGTCCGCACCCACTTCATCGTAAACTAAATCTATTTCTATCACTTATTTTCGAATTGATACCGTGCAGTTAGGTGTCCATTTATATTCGAATTCAAATTAGGCATCCCGTGTTATATTTAGAACCAGAGTATCTGGAAAAAATTGCAAAACAACGACAACAAGACAAAGAAGATGACAATGCAACAGAAGTCGTAATTGGAGACGATGGAATGGAACATGTGGTCAGTACGAAAAAATCTGCACAGGATGCTGCTGATCGAATATTTCAATATGATATGATGATTTCCTATTGTCATGCCGACAAAGATATAATCTATAAAATCCATGAATATCTTCTAGCTCAAGGTTTTAAAATATGGATTGATCTTAATAATATGTTCGGGCCAGGTAAAACATATATTATTTATTAATCAAAAACAACTCAAGTATAAATATATCTTTAGCGATGAATGCTATGGCTGAAGCGGTGGAAAATTCTGAATTTGTAATTATGTGTATGTCTGATTCTTATAAGCAAAGTACATATTGTCAAGCTGAAGCTGAATATGCATTTAATTGTAAACGACGTCTTCTTCCATTGATTGTCCAAACAGACTATAAGCCAGATGGTTGGCTAGGATTCATGATTGGATCAAGAATTTATGTCGATTTTGGCCGTTTCGATTTTGCTACAGCATGTGAAAAATTGCTGAATGAAATTAGTCTACAGAGAAAACGACCGCTTCCATCTGCAACGGATAAACTGGGCCCACATGTAAAACCAAGTGACAAACGTTCAGAAAGTTCAGCAACATCTGGCACATTATCTGATGAATACACGAAAAGAATAATTTCATCAAATTTTAAAGCGAAACCTTTGAAGCATTGGACAGAATCGGATTTATTCGATTTTCTTTTCGATCAGCGTTTAAATGAACTCATGCCTTTATGTGAAAAAATGGATGGTCAAGCAATAATACAATTATACAAAATGTGTCTATCGCAAAAAAACGAAACATATAATTCACTCAATATAGAACTTAACTCGGGACAACAAATAAAATTACCTGTTTCAGTTTATACGCGATTTCTAAGTATTATGGAGCGAATAACTGAACCTCCTGCGCCGCCAATTTGTTTTTCTATCATCGAAGAAGAACTTCCATATAAGCTATCAAATCAATCTCCTGATATGTCTTATGATATTTTAGTTACATCGCCTGAGTCGGCATCACGAGTTATAGAAATAGTTAACAGTATGATGCCAGGAACAAAAGCAACAAACCATCAATTCGAACAGCATAATAATCCCATGCATCAATCATTCAATATGGTTCAACAATAATTCCATGGTACAAGCACTTTTAGCGAGTTCAAAAGTAAAAACAGCATTTCGGTGTTGACTTGCCTTTATAAACCATTTTTTTTATAACTATTTTCTTTATCATTTATCCCAGAAAAAACAATTTATGATCATTATTTTTCATAGTCTTTATTATATTCATATTAATATATTATTTCCAATAATAATCTTTATTGTATTGAAGTTGAATCGCAAATAGTTAAATGATTGACTTAAGAAATATTTATTATTTTTTTTACTTCAACAGTATTTTCTTTGGATATACTGAATTTAACCTTTTAGACAGGGCAAGAACATTTCATGCATGTGTATGTTGCAGAGTATTCGAAGAAGGCTGTGTCGAATTCGATATAAAAAGCATTGAATCTTAATTATGAGATGAGACCGTTAGGAAAAGACAATTTTTTCAACTACATCTACCTTTTTAGCATGTTCCCGCAGCATTATCATTTAGTGTTGCTAGTCAGACTTCGATGCTTGATTATTCAGTATCATTTCACATAATGCTGCAATACGAAAGTATCTCATTTATTAAAACGAAACTTGTTGTTTTATACGATTACTGATAACATTTTAGTCCCACTCGTAATGGTCTGAGTCGTTTATATGATTAAATCGGTGAAGAGATCATCTTAATGTGTGTGTGTGTGTGTGTGTTTTGGTATCTTAGCTTCTGTTGTTGCACTGCCTGTCATAAGTCATCATCATCTCTCTTTCGTCGTACACGTGTATGTCCTCTAATAATCTTCCATAAAAAAACATGAACTCATATTTTGCTTCTAAAAACTATCAAAAGTGAAAATATTTTTGTTTTTGTAGCTACCGAAGTATTTAGTATACAAATATCATCGGAAAAAAAAGTCACACAAACCGACACATGCATTTTTTCATCATTTAAAAATTATGTGAAAAAGAAAAGGACTTCATGCTGCGTTCTGTCTGAAGTTAAAACCAAGAAAATAGTGGATAACGATCATTGAATTTTTTCTTAAATTTTTTACGTCCTGCTAAGCTATGACCACGAACACGTTCAACAAGAACACCTGGCATGTGCACTAATTCCAATGGTGATTTTCCATCGCGAATAGCGTTCGCTAAATTTAATATTTGTCCACGCATTACAGATAATTGTCGTTCTACTAATCGGCGGCTATAGTTCTTATCCAGAGCGAATAATCGTTCAATTTCATCGCATAATTCGTGTTGAACAAAACTCATATCAGATATAAATGGTAGAATTTGAGATTTGATTTCTTCAGAAAATGGTATTTTAGCTTGTTTTAACCCAGCCCAATGAAATGGATAAGCGCGCCATTCATCTGGATGTTTATATGGAAATGCAAGACCATTATCAATAGCAGCTATAAGAATCTCGGTGTTAGGATTAGTTGCATTGATTGAAGTCGTTTTTGAAGAACTTGCCGCCACGTCACCTTCATCCTAGACGATACGCATAAAGATATATTTGAAACAAATGTTAGAAATTCTCAATTAGGAAATCTAAAGCGTTAATATATCAGTTGTCTAGATAGTATTCTTGATTACTTGTTTCTCTGATTGAATTTGTTGGTTGGAGAGCGACTGTAGGAGCTTTGAAAAAAGAACAGAAAGTACAATACGAAAAAGTGGAAACAAGTGTTCGAATGCTCGGTAATAGAAGTAGATCTGAATGCATTAGGTTCACTCACCTGATCTCGTTTGTTGCTTGGTTTTACGACATATTTCACCAACCAATTATCATTACTACGATCTGTAGTAAACAGAAACATAAATTTGTCTTCAATCTTAACTATCAGTTTTTTTTTACATTGATCAAAATATAGTTTCATTTTCATGTATCTATCTTTGCACTGACAATGGATTACTTTAACATAAAGAAAAAAGATGAAATAGCTTCGATTTAATTTCGACTACAGGAGAAAACAAACAATGAACTTCTTTTTATTATAAAATACTTTTTTGTTTGATATAAACTTCTATTTTATGTATCAATATTTCTTTTGTTGTTTGAAATCATGTTGTCAAAATATCAGTTCAGAGGAGATGGGTTCTTTCATAAATTTTAGTTTTTGAAAATCGTCAACGTCTTCGTGAATTATAAATCGTATTTCACAAGGCAGCTGTCTTGTATAGAAATGGCGTAAATCATTGTTATCTGCAGGTTCTAACTATTCTACATTCGAACTTATAGACAAAAAAAATGACCTGTATTTCGTATAATATAATCTAGTACAACAAGTTTTTCGAATTGTTTTTGAAATTGTTCCATAGCTTTGTCTGGTAATGGTTGTTCCTCTATTTGCTTAATAAAATCATCTGCGCCAATATAATTGTCAACAAACAATTGAAAAGAACCAACCTGAAACAAATATGTTTGTTTGATGTAGAAAACTTATTTAAGACTACAACTGATTTTTCTTTTACTTTACTACGTAATTCTTCTAATTCGAATATTCGTTTGCCAGGCATATGGCGATCTACGATTTCATTTGTTCGACGTTTAGTTGTTAAGAAAAGTCGTTGATGGACAGAATAATTGAAAGATTCAGCAGTTAACCGCACAACATGTGTTTTAGGAACGATATTTAAACGAAGTTTTTCATCTATGATACTAGCACCAGCTTCAGATAAATAACCTTGATTATTAACTAAACAACTACGACCAAAACAACAAGGAAATAAATTTCTTTGAATCCTAGAATTTATATTTGATAATATAGATTTCATTTTTCTACGAAACTGAACAAACCATTTAGACCATTTCGGATTAAAACGAGCGTAAGGTTCTTCATCTTTAGGTTTGAAGACTCCAATAGTTTTCTATTAAAATATTGCTTTTTTTTGCTACTATATTCAACAGAATGAATACATACGCCTTCACAATTTCGAACAAAATAAGAGCCAGATGAACCAATTGCTATTCTAGCTGGTAGTACTCCATTTTTAATAGCTCTTTCGGCTTCTTTTATAATCTCAGCATAGTCTGGATCATCTACTATATTGATACTCCATGGTGACAATCGATGAGATTTTGATGATTGAAAGTTACTAGTTGATGCCGAAGGTAAAATTGGTCGATTTTCATTATTTACATTGCAAATGTCAGGTAAACTTTTAGAATTCGAATCTTTAGTTTGATGTTCACCACTATTATGGTTCATACTATTTTGAAATGAAATTATTTTCTTTATTTTTTGAAAATAAATTATTATTTTTTTATGGAAGCAATTGAGCAAGCAAGTTAGTAAAAAAATGATCATTTTGGAATAAATTTCCCATAGCTACGATTCATAATTAATGAAAAGAGCAAAACCTACTCTTTCGTAATTGGTATTGAATCAGTCAAATTTTTGCTATTCATTACTTGTCTTTCTCAACATGAATTAATCGTAATGTAAACACATGAGTCATCTCAACCTTGCGTATATAATTAATTAATGAAGCGACTATTAAAGAGTTAAGACTGGTTAAAATTTTTAATCACTACTAGAACTTACTTTCTAATGATTGATGCAGTAAAAGATGTTCTTAGCTGTGTTTAGATTATACATTTTTACTATAGATGGCATTATTAATCAAAATATTTAAACGTACGACAACGATATAACTGGCAATTCAGATGACTAGTTATCTCAAGTCAACTGTGACGCGGAATATACGAGACTAATTTTATGAAGCGACATCTAGATTTCATAAAACATATTTCTATATTAAAATGTGTCACATCACGCTAGGCCTTATATTACCTATGCAGGTTTTATTTCTTTTTTGTGTAAAAAGTAAGTGTGAAGAAAAGAATAAGATTTTACTTGCTACACATGGCACGTTACGTGTATCAATGGCATAATTTTATTTTATTACAGAAACTTAAGAGTTGACTCTTACTTTAAATGTATCAAACCAATGTAACAGTATTAAATAATCGCTGCTTGAAAATATGCAAATTGTGTTACGTTTTTGTGCAGAACAGCACAATATGCTCTCTATTCTTTTCTGAATAAAAAAGAATTCGCGTCCCAGATGATCGTACTTATTTATATCTAATGTATTATTTATTTTTCTTTTATCGCCTATCGTGCGTTGATTGTACAAGGAAAAAAACGAACAGAATTACTTTTCTTCGATTAAGAACATTTTTTTAATCATCGATAAGTATTTGAGTGAAATTACAAAGGATTGTTATTTTATTTCCTCATTTTCTTTCATATTTTCTTATTGAAAGATCGAAGAGAAGGATAATGTCGGAAAGAAAATCGACCATATAGTACAGATTAAAAACTCACAAAAAAATTCACTTTTGAGACAAATAGTAATATGAATTAAACGTTGCATGAATACCATCACAGGACACTTTTATTCTCTATTAAGTGCATTCTTAAGTAAGCTTTTATGTTCAATTTTAGTCTCAACTTTTGATGTAGAAACAAAATGTTGTCAGTTAGAAATTAGGTTTTAATTGCTCTCTCTTTCTCTCTCTCTCTCTATCTTGATGATTAGATTTATATTTGAAATTTGTCAATAAAATTTCCTCTAAAACAGAACATTTTAATAATTTCTTTTTTATTCAGGTAGATGAAGTCTTTAACACCTCATACTAAAAAGCTCTACAATTTTTACTTGAAGTAATAGATGCGCGAAAGTGTTTTTTAATTTCTATCAGACGCTTCCTATCAAATGAACGCATCATAGGAGAGAAATAGTTGTGCAAAAGGAACTTATTTTTTCCTTGACAGAAGAATCTCACTATCGTTAGGTAATAATTTTTTTATTTTAACGATCAAAATTCATTCGCTGTTGTGGTCTCAGTGTATGTTACTTGATGATTATTATTCTATTTGATTTTTAAATCAAAGGCAATACAATCCAAGATTTGTATTGAAGTTAGACATAGAAGTTGTCTTAATCTCAAAGTTTTAATTAATTATTTGATGTCATTGCGACTATGTTAATCCTAAGAATAGCAAGTTTGGACTATAATACTTTCTATAATAACGAAAGCTCTGTTATACAAAAAATGCACATCGAGCTCATATAGTTTCTATATTTTCATTACGATAAATATTATTTGATTATGTTCCAGGCGTATTTATGACATATCATTAAAAAAAAGCTAAGATCTTTTTAAATACACGACATTTTGGGGCTCTATCGTCATGAACAGATACTGAGAAATGTTTACCAGAAATCACAATTAGGAATAAATCCAAGCTATCAGACAGTTCAGTTGCAATTGCGAATTTCGTATTAGCATTAGTATTAACAAATACTAATCCACAAGTATTAGCAATCTTCTTAATGCTAATTATAATATGCCATACCGGACCAAGAGTTTATGATATGTTGTGTTAGATTTATACTAAAATATTTATATAGGAGAAAGTGTATGATTTGTATGCTGATCTTCATCAAAGAACAATATGCAAACATGGTAACTAGGAAAACTTGTCATTCAACTATTTGACGTGTGATGTGACACATCTGAAATAATTAACAAGTTTGTTTCTATTCAACAATTAATAGAGTTCTATTATATTGTATTTTATATTACTGTAAATATATTATCTGTAGTCATTAATAAGTAAGCTTAAGAATGTATAGATGTTATTATTTTATTTTAGTCATATATGAAAACAAGCATTCTTCATCGTGCTATTTCATATGAGATTTTTAAGACATGGATGATGTCGAGTTGTTTAGTACTTGAAAGTACTACGTAGAAAAACAAATTATTTTTGCCATGTTTTTTATTGCCCTGTAGGGGAAATCAATTTTTGTTTTGTTCTGAACCATTCCGAAAAATGTTTAGACTCGACCTGCATATGAAGAACAATATTTTGCTGGATGTTCTCGTTGTTATTACTCTAGATAATAATAAAAAAACTTCTTTTGAAGAAAAAAACTAAATTGGGATACTGTCAATAGTTTAACACTTGAGAATAGGAAGAATGATGCTAGAAATGTTATGGTTTCCCGTATGTTGACCAATAAAAACAGAAGAAGAAGAAGAAAAAATCTTTTAGTTTTAGTCAAATCTAATAAGAGATTTATCACATTCATGATCGCTTCTACGGAAACTGAAATGATTTTTCTTCCTGAGTATACGGACTAAGTTGTAAGCGAAGAATGTAAAACATTTACACCCTCACTATATAGACGGCAAATATAGAAGCTTATTTCAGTTCTGTAATGAGTATATTTTTCAATTGACTGTAGTTCCGTTTTTTTCTTCCGAGTCCACTTGCAAAGACGTAATCACTGTTGTTAAGTTTTTGTAAACGGAAAAACAAAGTGTTAGAATTCCAATTAAAGAAAATGAAATCCTATCAACCCAAGTAAGAATGTAAACTATTAGATTACATTCAGTAGCAACATCCGAATCGATCTTTTTTGTTTGTTTGATAGTGTCATACAGACATGTCGACTGCGTGTAAACAACATCCTGTATCTGTAACGTTCTATTTAGTAGTCCGAGTCCCCACTAGCTATGGAATAATTGTTAACAAGTCACTGACGACGACTTTGTATTTCGCATCACTATTTAGTAGAATATTGATTCAATTTTAAAACGCATCTGGTATTGTAGTTCGTCTACTTCTATCTCAGGTCTACAGTTAGCCGTAGTAATAGAGAAAATATCAAATACGTGAACCTTTCGTTAGATGCCACATTATAACAGATTACAGCTGAAAGATAGAGGCGTTCTCTCTCTCTATTTACATTTAAAACATTTATTTCAATTCATGTTTTGATGAAAAAATAGAGTACGGGGCTGACAAGAGTGTAGCTTGAATTATAGCACAAATTTTGTTTTCGGTTGCACTTAGTTAAATAGAATTTGTTATATTGAACAACGGTGATTGTGTATTTTTGATAAGCGCTACACGTTGTTTTTTTAAAATTTCTTTACTTTTCAACGCTGTTTGCCGTGAGTATAATTGAATGAAGGAAAACATTTATCGTTGAATGTTCTCTAATCAATTAGAGACGTTTGATCTGAAATAAGAAGCTTTGAAAAGTAGCTGACATTAGAAACTTCTGTATTTGTCGATTATTTTTTGTTTCGTAGAAAAAGTAATCTATCTACATAATGTAAGAACTATAAGATGAAGTTTTTATTTAAATTTTGAAAATATAAACATGCCTTGCAGCTATTTTTATGATCTATTTAAACCTGCACTAATGAAGCACTTAACAATTCCTGTATAGTGTTATATTTATAGGAGCTAATGTTGTATGGACCATAGCAATTCATATTCCCGTTTATTTCACCCATATAATTTTGTACTTAAAGTCATATTGTTACTGGTATCCTTAAGTCTAAATTAATAATATATGTTAACTTGATATGCCTTTTTTTTGTTTTCTAGAACTAATTCATATAATTTCATTCGAGTAATAGCATGGTTATTTTTAAGTTGCAAAAAAACAACGACTTCAATTATACAAAGTGTCGGACATGTCATGTGTAGACAAACTAGTCATCATTTTTGTCAGGACTAAATATATTAGAGTTTGCATGATTCTTATATAATGGAAATTGCGCATCTTCTGAAGTTTTCTCAATTAGGTAATTACATATTTATCTACCAATCTTTTTAGCGTTCACGAGTCTCTTCCTGACATTTGGCAAGATTATTTATGATGCTCTTACAACATAATTCCCAAAGAATGCATAGGACTAAAGTTACTTTCCGGTCGATTATTTTCATCAACTGGCAATCATAGAATTATTTTCAGTTCTCACTCGCGACATAAGTAACAGACAAAACTCTATATTTAGCAAGACCATGATAGATTTTGAATTTGTCAATAAGTTATTGTTTCATAGATAGATTATACATTTTTATTTTTCTATAATGTTGATCAACTAGCTAAAAATCCTGATAGGGTTTCAAAGCATCTTTAGAGTGCATTCTATTCAGAATAAAATGACGCGGTGACCAAAAAGAGAGCTCGATATTGTAGCTTTTCGTCTCAAAAAATCTTTCTCGAAGTGATTTATTTACAAATTTATTTTGTAGAGTATAGAAGTTTAAACAAAACATAACGGTCAGTCATTTTGATTCAAACTCCTACTTTCCCCTTTAAATAATTTTGTTTACAATAGCTCCACCATTATAGTTCATCTGTAAAGTCTTGACATTAATGTAGAATAAATAGTAGCATAGATAAACAATATAATCAAGTTTTCTATTTATTTGTTTTTTATTTCTTGACTTAAACGATTTTTAAATGTCGACTATCAAAAATGTATCGACTATAGAATACACATAGTTTTTCTCGAGAAAATATATTTACACTTTTCTGAAAAAGACTGAAGTTTATAGATAATATATGCATATAAAATGTGCCGAAGTTGTT